CTCGATTCAACGTATGATGTGGGGGAAACATTTACCGTCACTCTTAATTAACAAGCTGAGAATATTTCACCCACGACTATGACTTGTCGGGAACAATTATTAGTCCAAACTACCCTGTTGCTGTAATATCTGGTAGCCCATGTGAAAACGTTGGAAACAGTGGTTACTGCGACCATTCAGTCTCTTTTCTCCTACCCGTCGAAAAATTGGGAAAAGAGTACATTTAAGTTCTTGCTATAAAATCCTCTACAAGCGAAGATTTTTGTCGTGCGTTTGCGTCTCAAACAACCCTGGTGAGAGGCAGAGATGTGACGAGAATGATTTATCGTTGTAATTTTCTAGAGAGTGGTCCCTGTCGTAACGAACTATCCTCTTTTGTATCATGCAGCAAACTCTGTCAAGTGGTGCACTATGACAGATTTTTGAACCATTCATCAACTGAGCAGTTTGGCACAAGCTACAAATTTCTGCCAATGGCAATATCTAAGTATATACTCATCACATCATAATAATTATTAATTTTAAAGAGCAGCACAAAGGCGCCTAGATGGTGGATAAACAGAGTGCTACACAGTTTAATTGGAAAAAGTTAAAGGGAACGAATTCACCAAAGGTACAGATAAACTTAGCTTAATGATTATCAAATACATGTACAACGATTAGCATACAAAAAACGTATCGTTGAACAAAGATCTAATTGCATTCCAAACACTTTCTGTCCATATATATCTTATATACACTAGATAGTGCATCTAATTATTCCACAATTCAAAAATTGAAGCCGTGATTGCAGAGTCAGGATATTCCCATGAAATGAGAAGATTCGTATGTTTTCTATTTCTTAAAAACGGAACTTAAATATTAAAGTAAACCTATTCCAAATAATTTTTAAATTAAACTTTTCAAATGATGAAAGTTATTGTTGTTTTTTAAGCGTTTATTAGCGAGTGGGAAACATCAACATGACCGCCATCTATTCAAATGGGGGTAAGCGCTGGAATATTCTTGGCTTCAATTTTACTAAAATAGATGCGCTATCTACTCTATAAGATATCTATTTCTATCCTGTGTTCGTATCACACTTAACTGCATTTTTTTTTACACGCGCGGAACGAAATCAGAGCAATTAGAGAGTTGAAGCTTCGCGTTATACGTCAAACGGCAAACGCCAGGCACAGAAAAATTTTACGGTATCAGGCAATAAAGAGTAAATAAAAATGTTGTTTTAAAACTGAAATACATAAATAAATTATTCTTACGACTCAAGAAAAAAAATATGAAACAAAAACGTTCAACGAAAATTTTGCCAAGAAAGTTCGAACCTGCCATTTGCCGTTCCCGGAAACGTGAAGCTTAAACTCCCTTCTTTCATTTTTACACCACGGACTACGCTAAATGTGAATAATGACGGCTTTATTCGAGATTTTTTGTAAAGGGTATTAAAGCCGTCATTAATCGCATTTAACATGGTGGTGTAAGGTGAAAAATTTCGAATTAATTGTCCAAATCCTGTGAATCGCAGAATTAGGTAGGCACACCGGGAATTATAATATTGGCCATTTAATTTCTAACTCAACGACCTAAACTATCTATGCAGCTGCGTCAGGACGTGGTTTCTCTTGTAGCATTTAAGGTGGCTATCTACACTTTAAAAATGGAAGATTTTCTGATTTGGACATGAATTTCTGGAGAATAATTATTTGTTGAAAAACAAATAGCACCTGACAATCATGAATAAAGCAATAACTAAGTTCAAATTTATTAAAAATTTACTCCTAACAGCCGTTGCCACATTTCAATATGGCGGATATTTTTGGTTTAAAGTAATTTAATGCAAAAATAAGGTCGGTAAGCCCCTTTTTTATTTAATAACATACATGATTTCTTTTAGTATGTTGAATCATTTTGGTGATTTAAAAAAAAATCTGTTATGCCAAATTTTTTTAAGATCGGAAAATGTAATAATTCACAACAACCTTTTTTCGCACGAAAGAATTTTTTAAAAATCATAACAATTAATGAAATAAAAAATGAGAGTAACCGAACAGACCTTACTTTCAAGTTAAATAACTTAAAACTATATCGCACATATTGAAGCGTCATTGTTAACTACTCTGTAGTTATTATTTTTTAATCGGACTTTCTTTGTCTTTTAACATATAGCAATTGTTGAAAAATTGGATCTAAATCAGAGATCTTCCTTTTTCTGGTAAACTAATGCAAGCCACCTTAAGCGATAACACATCGGCATATTAACAAACGAGGTGTTGGATTTGCTTTACACATGCACCTAGCTGAATATTGAATGACAGAAGTTGCCTTCCATAGATATTAATTCAAATGCATGTTGTTGTCACCAGATAGGTCAGAATCCAATTCAGAACTATTATTTACACATCAGTAACAATTTACTATTACAGGATGTATTTCTTAAGAATTTATTTCCCCCTTCTATGCAGGCTAGAATATATCAGAAAAAAGTAGACAATATTGAAACGGCTCTCAATTTCACAAATCCGTTCAATTCATGAAATTTTTTATACAAATAGATTGTTTGCGTACTTATAATATAGAATAAACAAAAAAAATTGGTAAAGACATTTTCCAGAGCAGGAAGGATGTCTTTTTCAGCGACATTAACAATATATTGCGTGCGAGGAATTTAAAACGTTAAAGCGCATTTTGAGTTCATGGTTTAAAAATGTGTTATTTTTTTATTAATGGTCCAAATATTAGAAAATTTGCTTAATATGAATTCCTACAAATAGCTGCTGAAACGTTCATTTTTTGGTACCATGATGCCTTTCACTCATGCTTTATTCATGCATTTACCTAATTTGCATATTGATATTTTACTTTTTTGCAATAAAAATATGCAAATTGGGCAAATGCATAGATAGATAGATAGATAGATAGATAGATAGATAAACTTTATTTAAACACATTGGCCTTTTCAGCAAAAGCTGATTTCCAAAAGGGATGTGTACTTACAAATTATTATGAATTAAGCATGCGTAAAGGGCATTGATGCTGAAAAATGAAGTTTCAGCAGCTATTTGAAGAACTTAAATGGAGCAAATTTTTTGATATTTGGACAATATTATTAATTTAAAAAAATACATAACAAATTTCTCTCCCATGAACTCAAAATGCGTTTTAATGTTTTAAATGTCGCGTGCAAGCTATTTTTAGTGCTGCTAAAACAGACACTCCCTAGCTGTTTTGGAAAATTCTACATATCTGTATTCTACACAATGTAAGTACCCAAATAATTTATATTACTTATAAAAAAATTCATGACATCAGAACGGATTTGTGAAACTGAGCCGTTTCAAAGTTGTCTACTTTTTCTGAAATGCACCCTAGATAGGGATGTCATAGCTTGTGATTAAGAGGGTTGAGAATTCCTCATTTTATCAGATTTTCAAGACATTACCTTTGAGTGACGCAATAATTCTTCATTGAACGTTTACATTGTAGGAAGATTATTGGTTACTTACATTTTTCTCTTTCTATTTGATTATTTAAAACGTAATTCGGTAGGGACTTAGCACGGTTGTTAGCTAATAACAATACAAGAGTTACATACTGATTGTAGAATCATTACATTATACAGTAGATTGAACCTTTTGGATTAATTTTATGAATTTGTATAAGTTAAAGACACCTTAATTTCATTTCAAAACTTTATCACATTTATAAATTTCGTCCCGGAATTTTGCAACATTGGGATCAATTATGTAATATGTTCATTCACCAATGCTCGTAGTAGCAATGGAAACACCTAATTAAATCCAACTGCGGTTTAAATTTTACGAAATTCATATCCACTTCATTGTTGCCTCGAAACAACAGCAAATCAAGATTATAATGACAAATACTTTTGCGGATCGTTTGACAAATAATAGATTTTTTTCTATAACACTTGCACTGTAATCATGAACAGGTACAGAAATACCAACGCCAACTCGCAAACAGAAACGGGACTAACTCTGTGGCTTTTGTCGTGTTTGGTAAAACCGCAGCTCCGATTGGTACAAGAATTTGCTCGTCTCATGTATTAACTGGAACAAAACGGGAAGCCATTTTGCTTTTGTCCGGACGTGAGTAGTAGAGCAGAGCAAAACTACCAAGAAAATTCCTCGTAAAGCACTATCCATCTCTCGAGTATATATATTATACTAATATACATGAAGAATTTATTATCGAGAAACCCTAATAAAAGTTTCTGTACCGTACAGCAAGACTCATGGCCAGAAATCACGGACACGATTTATTGTACTTCCTTCGTAATTTGCATATCACGTTGAAATATGGCTTCTATTCACTACCGAAGCCATATTTCAACAGGTTATGTATTAATGATATGCAAAGTTAGTAAGGAAGTAGAATAATCATGTCCGTGATTTCTTGCCATGATAACTTGGCTTTCCTCTTAAAGGACAATGGCAACGAAAATTTTATTGGCTATTTCAATCCTACTTGACGACCTACTATGAAAATATTATCATTTCCTTCTCGAACATTTTTGTCTACGAGAAAAATGCATGCAAACTTTGTGTTTCGCCGCCATCTTGGAAAATATTTTTGAAAAATTATTTCGAACTTTGTGACGTCATTAAATGGGTAGCACCAAAACTACAAGAGAGAATTATATTGCGTGCGTGTTATGTTAGCTAAAAATATGCCGTTTTTGAGCGTTATACTGACCAACACGCTTCGCAATCAAACAAGAGAAGTCTACACTATCAGATAAAACCATATCGAGCGACTGGGAAAACAAGGAATGGCGCAATTTACAATACAGGTAATTGTCTAATTGATCATAAAATATTGCATTAGTATTTGCCTTGTTACACTCCAAATTTCTGCGTTTATTTAACACGGAGTAGGATATATACTATGAGAAATAGTGTTACAAACAGGTTACATACTTGGTAAAACTTTTCTGCCTTTTGTTTTGTCTCAAAATGCACTATACGTGTGGTAACACTCGATATTGTTTATAGTCATGAAATTGTGTTTACCCATCTAATGACGTCAAATAATGTATCTTGTGGCATAAATTAGCATACACGTTTATTTTCAAAATGGCGGACAAATGTTGAACTTTTTATTAAATTTTCTCAACAACTAAACGCGACAAACCGGCAATAATAGGAAATGACATATTCCGTAAGTATACCTAATAGATATAAGTAATAAAAATTTTGGTTGCCAATGTCCTTTAAATATAATAGAAAAGGGTAATCGACAAGTTTTCACAGAAATTATATGCTGTCCTTTTTCATTATAAGCAACCTACGAGCAGTTTTGTGAGGAATTATAAAGCACACAATACATCAACGGCGTCATTGCTTCCGTCTTTTGGCTATTCTTCCGGCTTTTTTTCTCAAAAGCGGTTGAAATTTACAACAAATTACAAAAATGAAATATATATTTGCCCCCGGGGAAACGAAAGTACTAGCGAAGTTTATAGTTTATCAATGATTGCGGGCATGGGTTAAGGCCCTGTTGCACGGTGCAATTTTTCATGCAACTTGTCTCGTAATGGCGTTGCGGGACAAATTGCACTAGTCATTGCACCCGGTTTAACATGCCTTGTGTAAGGAATATATAATTTTATTCCGTTTTCTGCGCGAGGTAGGGAATCGTTTACAATCAATCTTAAATACTATCAGTTCTTAGTGTTCAATACTGTTCATTCCTTCATGTTCAGGTTCGTCTTCTTGTAGTAGTTTCATAAAAGTTCACTTCAGCTTTCAACTGGCTTTCACTGTTCGTGATCTGTTCGTTAATTTCTTCGTGTTGTCTTGTTTCGTTTGAGCTTCAGTAGCTTTTCATCATTTAAGCTTTATTAAGTGTACGTTCACTGACGAATTTGGGTTGTGCACGCCCTTTTATACTAATGATTGAGGGATCTTTGTACACGTGATGTAGCAAGTGGTGTGATTTGTATCCAGCCAATCAACGTTGAGGTTTAAAAGTGTGGGTTGGCGTTGGTAGCTCGTTCCAGCCCTCAAATTCTGTTTATTTAAGGCGTTGTCGCACTGGTCGAGTCGATTCGCTGTTCAATCGATCAATATTAAAATATGTTCACAACTTAAAATACTTATCAAAATATCATAGTAAAAACTTCAACCTATACCTATGTGAACCTTACTTTACTTACTAAACTAAATTTACTTACAATTTTATTGAACCAAGATTTTGATGACATAATGTTATCATTACTCAACCGCGCGAAATATACCGAAGAATGATTGACAGAAAGGCCCTAAGCATGCACATTTTCATGTCAAAGAAGAACCAGCCTTGGACTTTGAATTATGTAAACACAACAGCCCACCATGCAAGGTTATCGTCCAACTTTGACAAATTGACGAGTTATTTATCTTGCCTAATGGACAGATAATTGACATTTTTACGCAAGTCCGAAATGAGATATACTTTATCTGTTTATTTTTCATCAAAAATGCTCATTATCTCTCCATTCGACGTAACTAGTATCTATATTTACCTGGGGTGCAAATTGAATTATTTTTATTCTATTTAGATATACTTTCCTAACACTTGCAATGGTCGAAATCTTTGCGAGACAAGTTGCATGAAGCATCGCACTGAGTAGAAGTCGGTTCTACTTGTGGCAACGATT